ATGACTACCCCCCATAAATAGGTGGCAGGGGAGGGGGGTTACCCTGCGCCCCACATATTTGCCCCCCCCCCCCCCCTTGTCCCCCCCCTCTCCCCCTTCATTGTCCACACATTCCACCTTCTTTACCATGGGATTTTAGGCTTAAGTGCTAATGGGGCATTACGGGCTACAAGGGATATAAGTGATAAGGGTCAGGCGATCAATGCGTTCCATGCATCAAAGATGTTAAAGTGGGAGGGATATGAGGGTACAGATGTTTTTTTACGGTTAGCTCGTTTGTCATGCGTTTGGCATGTATGGCGAGGGGTATGTGATGCATGTGGGGATCGGCTCATTATGCTCATTTGGCTCAGGGGAGTCTGGAATGTCTGGGACTGTGGAATATCTGGGAAAGGGAGTGTAAAGGGTATGAAGGGCATGAAGGGCTTGTTTCCGGTCGGAAAGTTTGGAATACATGCGGTATAAAAACGACGTGTCAGGAAAGGCCTGGATGCGTATTCCAGGGCCCGAAACATGCATCCACACATGTGCCAACCACAACCAGTCCAGCAGCAAGTCCGGTTTACTTTCAAGCCACGGCAACTTGCCATACAAACTCCCAAAGCATAGGGAAAGGCCTGGATATCCTGGATGCGTGTTCCGAGGCCCCAAAAATGCATCCAGACATGTGCCAGCCAAAACCCGTCCAGCAGCAATGCAGCTTTACTTTCGTGCCAAACCAAATTCTTTTAGAATCCCCCAAGCCCTCAGGAAAGATCTGAGTGCGTGTTCCGGGGGCCGAAACATGCATCCAGGCGCCTGCGAACCGAAATGAATCCGGACAGCAGCAACCCAGGTCTACCTTCCAGCCAAAGCAATTTGCTCTGGAAGCCTTCAAAGCATCGGGAAAGGCCTGGATGCGTGTTCCGAGTCCCGAAAAATGCATCCAGACATGTCTTGGACCAAACCCGTCCACCAACAGCCCAGCTTTACTGTCCAGCCAAAGCATGTTGCCTAAGAAATCCTAAGAAGCCACCACAGCATCGGGAAAGGCCTGGATGCGTGTTCCGGGGCCCGAAGAATGCATCCCGACAGGTGCCAGCCCAAACCCGCGCATCAGCAATCCAGGTTTGCTTAGAAGCCCCCAACGCCTCAGGAAAGGCTTGGATCGATGGCTTGGATGCGTGTTCCAGGGCCCGAAAAACGCATCCAAACATGTCAGCCCAAACTCGTGAACCAGCAATCCAGCCTTACTTGCGTGCCGAACGACGTGTCAGGAAAGGCCTGGATGCGTATTCGAGGGCCCGAAACTTGCATCCACACATGTGCCAACCACAACGCATACAACACAACGTCAAGACAAGCTATATGTGTGACTTGCGCTTCCTGCCGGCGGCAGGAAGCACAAGTCCTCCTCACGGAGCACAAGTCCTGCTTCCAAACCCTTTGTTCCTAGAAGTTTAACTGCCGACTTGCGCTCTGTCCTGCTCTACTTGCGCTTCCTGCCGGTGGCAGGAAGCACAAGTCCCACATTGTCAGAGACACACGATGATGTTTCGCAGGGACGCTGTAATGGCTCCGTTTACGGTAGTGACGCTGCAGCATCACAAGCATATCTAACATTAATTTAGAACTCATGAAACATCATGAAACCCCTCCGTCCATGCAAGTCCTGGCCTGAGGCAGCCGGTGCAGCCATGACATCCATGGAGTGTTGAACAAATGACTTGCAGTTATCATATCACGTCACAGACCAGATTTTGTCCAAAGTTGTGCCCATGATGCCCATGTACCCCACCTGTCTACGCTGTGTATGCTGTCTTCCGTATCTTCCGCATCTTCTGTGTACTTCAACGTCTGCATTGTCGGCTAAGCTGACCGTTGGCAAGGTGTGCAACGTATGGCATGCGCAAGGTGTCATACGCAGTATACGCACTCCACATGCCCCAGTCTGTGCATATTTTGCATCACTTGCATCCCAGCATCTGTACTCATATAAACGATTCTGAGACGGTTTGTTTTTTCCGCTCTTGCATCTCTTGCCCCCCAGAGCCCCCAGCTCAGTCCTACATGTCCTAAGTCTACGTCTTCTGGCTGCATATGCTGGATGCGCTTATGCATCAGCCGCTTCTTCAGAGAGGACATACATCCTTGCCCCTCCTGTGAGTCTGCGGTTTAGGGTTGAGGGCTTTGAGGGTTTAGGGTTTCGCGTCGAGGGGTTTAAAGTTTAGGCTTTACGGCTAAGGGTCGGTTTGACGCTCACACTCGGACATACTCGGACAAGGGATACAAGGGTGGGTTTAGGGCTTAGGGTTTAGGCGAGTGTGTGCGTCGAAACCCTCCTAGACCGTAAACCCTCAAGTCTAAATCATGTAAAGCCTAAACCCTTAGACCCTAAACCCTAAACCCTGAACCCTGAACCTTAAACCCTAAACCCTAAAAGGCCTAAACCCAAAGTGTAGGTTTTCGTTTTCGGGGTTAGATGGTTAGATGGTTCAGCGGTCCTACGGGCTCTAGGGTCTGGGGTTACCTAAACCCCAAAATCCCGAAGTCAAACTCTGAACTGTAAAGCGCATATAACCCATACGCTGAACCCTCATCTCCAATCCCTGAAACCCTGATCCCTACACCCTAATCCCTAATATCCCTAGACCCTTAACCATCATGACGGTTTAGGGATTTTGGGTTTTTAGGATGATGTAACCTTTTAACCTTCCCCAAATCAGCACTGAATCACCATGCCAAAATAATAGGTGGCTGCCTCCTATTACCCCCCCCCCCCAGCAGAGGGTAGTCATATTGAAGCAAGAGGCGACTCGACATTGCGCCACCCTTGCAGACGAATCAGAGCTGCTCAAATGCTCACACACCACGCACAAGTTGAGTCCTGATGTGCAGAAGGAAAGCAGGTTGCTAATTCACTTTGAACGAGTGCTCAGATGTGCTCTCTGCCACGACTACTGGTGACGAGTCATCCTTCGTGCTGCACACGTAATCATAATCTCTTCAAAGATTGAGGATAACATGTGTCTTCACTTGTTGTTGAAGATAGCACGCTAACTACACGGAGTTTCGGAGACTCTGGAATCCTGGAAGCCAAAGTCTACATGTATCGGCTTCAGGAAGTCATGCGAGCAGAGCGAGTTGTGCTTGTCAGGCATGTTATGTGCTGCCATGTCCTCGCCTCTGCAGTCAATTGCGTGGCACAAGACCCAAAGGAAGACCGCCGTAGCCACCTGACAGCCATGGCGAAGACATGCGTTGTCTTGTTGTTTGCGGCTGCGATTACGCAAGGCTGTAGAAAGGGTGTCGTTTTGCCCCATACCAGGATCCTCAGCCCTCTGGACCCAGAGCACCAACACCCAAAGCTGTGACTGCACCTGGGCTAGGCGATGCGTCAGATTGCGTGTCCGAGTCCCTGCAGCTGCCTTGCCCAACGTGCCTCGCATGATTATTTTGGAGCGGCTGTTTGCCGAATATTTTTTCGGCATAACGATCTTCGATGTTTTGTTGGCAATGCCCTCAGAAAAGGTGTGGTTCCGACATTCCCCGCACAAACCACCCGATGCATTTGGCGTATGGTTCCTGGTCAACGGCAGACTTGGAGACCGAGGTTTCCAGCGACTCAGAGTCAGACGCAGGTTGTTTTTGAGCTGCATGTATTCTTGAAATTTTAGGCTTGAACCCTCAACGGATCTTTTATCTCAGGTGACAAGCTTTCCTTCTCTTGGTCTACGGATGCGGGACACCCCTCCAACAAAGCAGGGTACTTCATCTACGGAGAAAGCTTTGCTCTTGGGAGGCTGAAGGGCGCAGTGTAAAGTGTAAGCTCACAGTAACCCTCCGGGATACGGGTGCTTCCCTGGTGTGTGGGATGCCGGAAGTTCCATCTGCTTTAGCCCTGGAAGGCGGTGCCACTTGCGTTCCCTGGAGTATCTGGAAGTCCCACAGCATATCTTCGACATCGACCGGGACAGCCTTGAGGCTTTTCCTGTGACTTCCGAGCTGCTCCTGCACCACCAGTGTGAAAACGATCAATCTCTCGACAAACAGCTTGACGTGGACAAGGAAGCCATAGAGAGCTCTCAAAAGACGCAGACTGGCATAAAGGCCAAGATTGCAGCTTTGGAGACGAAAGGCAAAACAGAAATGGCCTCACTAAAGGATCAGATGGCAGCTTTGACGTCAAACTTCTCCATGTCGTCCGACCAGAACCTGCACAAGTACCAAACAGAGATTGGCTCGCTAAAGGATCAGATGGCAGCTTTGGCGCGCAATCACACAACAGAAATGGCCTCGCTACGGGATAGCGTCACTGCTTTGCTTGACCAGGAGGAAGAACATAAGAAGCGCTTGGAGAAACACAAGGCGGCCGAGAAGCTGGAGGACCAGTGGCACCGCCCTGAACTTCCGGATGAGGTCGTTCTGTCGCTGACACTGGCTCTAGCCATAGGTTCGTCGAGCCCCAGCGCACACTCCAAGGCAGGGCTTGGTTCGGAGTCGGGGAGAGTAGCGGTTGCAAGCATCGTTAAACAGCGTTGGGTGTAGTCCAGCAGCTGGCGCCATCGCTGTGCAATTACTGCAAGCAAGGTGCTCTCCGACTTCTTGGTTTCCTTGCTCACGCCGGGCCAGTTCAAAGATTCAGAGGCGGGAGTCACGGGTAAGGGTGGCGGCCTGGTGCAAACCCAGCCAGCGGTGGAGACCCTGAAGCGCAAATCAAGCAATGGCACCAGAGTCAATATCACTGCAAAGCAGGAGCGTCGCCTCAGGCAGCCGTCCTATACTTCGCCAAGCCTGGACGACCCGTCTGCATTGCTCCTGGCTGCGTCTAGCCGTGGCTACTGGTACAAAGGTTCTCCCTCCCAGGCTCCCTGCAACAAGACAGTCTTGCAGGTTGTCCTTTCGAGTCCGATCATGCTAGCCCCGGAAGATGCCGATCGGATCAAGTCTAGTTTACCGGAGGAGCACAAGCCCTCTCGTCAGAAGCCTCAAGATATACAGACCGCCAGCCTGAAGCTCTTGTCCATCGATGCCAAGTACCTCGCCCGCCCGAAGTTCAGCCCACAGGAGAAGAGCGCTCGATTCCCGGAGTTTGTGTCTCTTCTGGCTGGGTGCTTGGCTTTGACGGCCTGCTGGCATGTCTTCTGGCCCGAGGATGGTCGCGCTCAACAATATGCTCCACACAATTATGTTCTCTTGTTATTCGTGATGGCTGTTGGGCTGCCGATCCTTTGTGCCGCCGGGCTGGCATACCTGCCATTCAATGTGTTGGGCCAGGATGGCTCCTATGGCTTCAGCGCGGCTGTACATGCAGATTGGAGCTTCAGTTGGCAGAGCTTCGGGAAGAGTACAGGGGGAATAGTGGCGATGGGCTTTGTCAGTGCAGGCTGGTGTTTCGCGCTTCGTTGCCACGGAGAAGTTCTTATGCTCTCTCGAGCTAGTAGCGGCTTGGCGTTCCTGATCTATCCTGCCTTGATTGCGCTGTACCGCTTCCTCGGCCAATTCGGGTTGATAATGTGGTGTTGGATGTCTTTCGAGTACTACTTTCCCATCTCAAGCTGTGTGCTCAAGGTGGGCTTTTACGGAACGCCCATGCTTGTGTGTCTGCTTCTGGCCCCGTGGTTTGTCCTACCAGCTGGAGCTTACTTCAACCAACGGGCTAACTGCATCGATGGGCTAGATTGGGAAGTACATCTTGCATTTGTGGTCGTCATCTGCGCGAAGTCATTAGCATGGAAAGGCTGCATATCCACACAACGTTCAGGCTTGGCCTGCCTCTCTACCTTTGTATTCTATGTCCTTGCGGAGCTGGACATGTACACTGATGGCATGTTTATTGCCATTGCTGCCTCGTGCGGATCGTGGTATGCCTATGTGTCGCTCATAATCTATGCTGTTGGCGTCATCGTCCTCCAGGTCCTGCTCCCGATGTTGTGGGCGGCTTCTGATTCGGACAGTGATGCGGGACGGCTTGCTGCCATGTTTTCTTTCTTCATGTTCCCACTGGAGATTCTGACGGGCGTGATGGATCCTTGCGAATGTGTTGGTCCAAGTCTTGGTGGTTTCATCGGCCACAATGTTGGTAGCAAACCTTTGGCAAGGCCATCCGACAATATGGCAAGTCGCCAGCTCATGCTGACTGCAGTCATGCGGTGCCTCGGCGAAGACCTTCCTCAATGCATCTTGCAGTATTTGTTCACCATCCATGTGAAGAAGAACCCGCTCATCATGTTCAGTATTGGGACCAGCCTGGCCTCCTCACTCTTTGCAGTTGGTAAGGCTTGTTGGAAAGTTTATGCCACTGAGCAAAACAAGCACGTGAAGGTCTCATCAGAAGACAACTTGGGAACTGAGTAAGAAGTGAGCGCAGGTTTCCACAGAGTGACCAAGTCAAGTCATGCATGATGGCAAATATGAACTTACCAATGCGTAACAGTGAACGTTTATGGGTGATGGATTATCTTGAATCGCAGAAACCTCTGCGCGGCCTGTCCTCAGCGCCTCAGGATGTGCCCACCCACCTCCGGGCAAAGCCCTCGTTCCAGGGTCTCGGTTGCATCCTCCTCATGGCAAGAAAGCCATTGTCAAGTTTCGACCTATGCAGGAATTCGACGTGCTAAAGCCTAGAGATTCCAGCGCTGCAACGTCAAAGACAAAAAGACAGTGGTGCAAACGACCTACAACATCCTCAGAAAAGTATGGCATACTTCAGTATATTGTAGTATACCAGGATACTGTCGTACACTCTCCCAAAATCTTCTTGTCGGTGGCGCTGGCCGCGTGGCGCAATCCCCACGCGGGAAAAGAAGTTCCAGTTTTCAGGCTCCAAGGGCCTAGGATTTTGGATTTAGGGGCTAGGTTAGGGTTTGAGACATGTTAACATAGAACCTCAACCATACATAACTTTGGGGACTGTGGAAGTCCACGGCTGACAGACTTGTAGTTGCAGTGGTCCATCATGCTTGAAAGGCTTTCCTGGAGGTGCATCCTTACGTGAAGGGCTTCGAGCCGCTGCCCCAGCCTGCCGCCGAAAGACGACCCGAATTTGCGCAGTTTAGAGCCGACGGCTGCTGGCTGGGCTGCCAGGCCATCTACGGCGGATGCGGAGCTCTTCGAGCAACTCTCGGAGCTGCGGCCCTGGTGAACGCAGAAGGGAGCCTGGGGCGTGGCTGAAGGTGTAGGCGGTGTAGTTAGAAGGAGTATTGAGTGTTACAATTGCCTCGGTGCCAGGTCTGGTGCTCCGGAGACGCCGAACCTCAGGAGAGGTCCCAAGACGCTGGAACACGGGCGCATCTGTCATACTCAAGAATGGGAAAGCCCATCATGGTTGCAATACAGACTGTAGCACGGTGGAGACATATTAATATTCGGGGTCGGGCACTCGAACTTCACAAGTTGTTAGAAGCCGGGCAGGGAGCCTTGCTACCCCGAACAGTAAGTCTTAAGTAGATTCACGCCAGCGGTGTTGGGTCGGCAGGGTTCTTGGTTTTTTGGTTTGCAGGAGATGGTTCGATCACCTGGAGTCCTTCTCGTCCCTGGAACGCCCCCTTCCTAGCGAAGTGGAGTTCTTCGCCCCAGCAAACATTTCTGCTTGACCGACCTCTCAGGTTCGTCGTGGCAGAAGACGGCTTAGACAGCGTTCGCGCCTGACATCCGAGACTCGCAGCAGGCCGGCAGAAGGGTGAAGATAAGCCAGACAAGACATGACATGACATGAAGCATTTGGCGTTGGATGTCAACTTCTTGCAGTGAAACATAAAAAAGACTTTGCAGCTGCTATGGGAAGGCATCGATGCAGTTTTGGCCGCTTTCACAACTGAGCGCATCGCGTTTGCAATGTTTGCAAGGATTGACTGGGTATGAGGTGCTAGTTTGGGGAGGGGTTCCACATTCCACCCCGAATTGGAAACGGCTTTGTCCAGTCCGCCTGCTGTTAGCCGCCACCGTTGCGATCTCTGAATGAGCGCTGGTAGGTAGACTTGCAACCAGCCCGCGTGCTGCGAGGCGGTTTTCCTCAATTGATTGTACAGTGCTACAGATTGCTCAGAGATCGCAAAAATGTTGGGGACTTGCTGTCGCCGTTGACATACTTTTTCGTGCACAGCAGGCGTAGCATGGCTTAGCATCATTGGTTCCTAGAACATCTAGCTCGAAGTTACATGGGCAGAGGCACATCCGCTTTGTCAATGGACGGCCCAATAAACATATATACACACTTACACTTGTACAAGTACCCAATCTGTTGTTCCCATTGGTTTCCTATGTTTTCGATGTGTTTCGTTCATAAGTCTACTTGTGCAGATTTCTTGCGAATGGAAACCTTCTGAATTTTGGTTTTTGCTACCGCAAGAGATTCAGACAAATATAAGTATCTTGGTAGGTCTATGGAATGTTGTAAACAGAATTGTAGGATTTTTGGTAGCTATTGATAATTAATTATTAATGTATAGAATTATCTTGAAATATTGGTATTTGTAGCACGGAAACTAAGTTATAATTATTCGATCGAAAATTCAGAAAGAAAGAAAAATCTTCGATTGATTAATATATATATTTTCTTATATTTATTCAATAATATAATATAATATATTATATTATACTATAATATATATATAGATATTTATTTATTCATTTGATTTTCATGACGCTTATTTTTTAATGGGACATATTTCAAATTTAAAGATATAGAAAGGATTTCTTTAGGCTTCTTATATTTAAAGATTATAGAAGATAAATTTGGATCGTTAGAAGGATTTAAAAAGATTTGAATGATCGATACGAAAGAATTTGGAAATAAAATAGAAATATAGAGAGGTATTGGGACGCTTCGAATTACGGATATAGATAAAAGGAATTCTATATAACAGAGAATTCTTTAAATTTTATGTAAAGGTTCTAATATTTTTTTATTAAATGAAAATTTACGAGAATGCCGCATTTGGGTTATCTATGAGCTTAGGTATCCGTATAAAGGTTTTTTGTTTAACTTGTGTAGCTATATATACGTGCTGGCGGTGTCGGTGGGTATAGAACGGAGTCGCGGGCAATGAATGGCCGAGTCTTGAAGCCGAAAGAATCGCCTCGCTTCATTATATGATGCTGCTATTCCTCTGTGCCCAGCTTGCTACAACTCCCTTGCTCTGCACTTGTCACTCGAGTCTCAAGTTCTTCCTAGCAGCAGAGGGAACTGTCATACCTTGCAACGCCGACGAATCGGGTTTACTGTATCTTGGGCTTGTCCTCATCTCCTATGATGGCATTACGAAAATTGATCTTATCAGCTTCCGTATCTTTATCAAAACCTCCCACTTGAAGGACCAGATTGGCCCGAACCATCCACCACGAGACTAGTTCGCGTACCTTTCCCACCAAGATATTTATATAATGCTCATCTAAATTCGCATCGAAGGCAACAAAAAAAACAAAAAAAAAAAAAAAAAAAAAAAAAAAAAAAAAAAAAAAAAAAAAAAAAAAAAAAAAAAAAAAAAAAAAAGAAAAACAAAAAAAAAAAAAAAAAAAAAAAAAAAAAAAAAAAAAAAAAAAAAAAACAAAAAAAAAAAAAAAAAAAAAAAAAAAAAAAAAAAAAAAAAAAAAAAAAAAAAACAAACAAAAAAAAAAAAAAAAAAAAAAAAAAAAAAAAAAAAAAAAAACAAATAAAAAAAAAAAAAAAAAAATAAAAAAAAAAAAAAAAAAAAAAAAAAAAAAAAAAAAAAAAAAAAAAAAAAAACAAATAAAAAAAAAAAAAAAAAAAAAAAAAAAAAAAAAAAAAAAAAAAAAAAAAAAAAAAAAAAAAAAAAAAAAAAAAAAAAAAAAAAAAAAAAAAAAAAATAAAAAAAAAAAAAAAAAAAAAAAAAAAAAAAAAAAAAAAAAAAAAAAAAAAAAAAAAAAAAAAACAAAAAGAAAAAAAGGAAAAAAAAAAAAAAAAAAAAAAAAAAAAAAAAAAAAAAAAAAAAAAAAAAAAAAAAAAAAAAAAAAAAAAAAAAAAAAAAGAAAAAGAAAAAAAAAAAAAAAAAAAAAAAAAAAAAAAAAAAAAAAAAAAGAAAAGAAAAAAAAAAAAAAAAAAAAAAAAAAAAAA